GCCCTTGTCCTCACTATTAACACTTCACTGAAACCAAAGTAATTTGTGTATCATTCTCCTGCCTCCAGCAGAGTCCTTTCCCTTTATATCTGGGGAAAGCAGTTCCCACCAGACAGAAGTGTCCTTTTTTCTTTCTCAGCCAAAGCAATTCCCTATAAAAAGAGATTTTTATGATTATTCCAGTAGCTGCAAAGTCACGTGTGCCGTGGCAGCACTCAGATATCCATCAGTTCCTGTCACAGGCTACACTGCCACCAGCAGTACAAACCCAAGTTTAAATGTAGAAATAGGTGTGCAAGCAGCCAGGGGAGCCCCCAGCACCCCAGCCCAGACATACTGCATATTCCAGCAGCTCCGAGGGGCTGGCAACACCCTGGGAGATGCAGGAGATACACTGGAAATACTGAGATCCTTTTAGAGCCATAACATTTATTTCTAATGGCAATGTTTAAAATGTATCTCCTAACCTGAAGTTTCTAATTCCAGAAAAAAAGAAATGACTGCTCATCGGAGCCTTTCAGATGCACATCAGCCTGCAAGTAATTGAAGACAAAAGTGGTTTTTGCTGTAATAAACCTTCATAATGAAACACCAGAGGAAAATCCTAAAGTTCAACTCAATGCATCATGTTAATCTCCAGAATGGGATTATCTTGCCACTAATCTTGTTAGAGCCAGGGCACTGTGCAAATGTATCTAAACACATAATTACCGAAGAGATATTAAAAGGATCAATTTATTTCAATAAAAAATGCAAACTTTGAGAAGAATTCATTAATACTCAGAACCTAGCCACGTAATAAATAATATTAATGAACTGAGCAAAAGGAATAGATGAACAAGTACTGACATGATGTCTGGTGCTTACTGGTGTTAAAGAGGAACTGACAATTACTCCACTTGAAATGTAAACTCTCACAAGGGAAATGCTAGAAAGCAAAAGACTTGTTAAAAATATGTATGTACATATATATACACACATTTTAAAAAGGCATTAGGATGAAAACTAATTTAATTTAGTCCTAAGGAGGCCGTATTACCATTTTCATCACCCTTAAGCTGTGTTTATGTTAGCAAACAGGGCTGTGCAACAGGAGCATGAAACAGCTGTTGCCCAAATGCTGCCAGCACAGAAACTGTACATTTTAGGGTGGTTAGTGCCAGCTGGCTCCATGGTGGTCCTGCAGACTGACTGCCTCACCCCAGGGACAGGGCTGGAGGATCTCTCCGGTTTGGTTTTGCCCCAAGGGACCTCAAAAGCGCATTCCCTGTAATGGAATCAAAACACAACAAAATTTTCGTCAAAAAAAGCCTCCTTTACTTGCACTGAAGTGTTTGCTGCAGCAGAAACACTCCGGACACTGTAAATGGCTCACTCCAGGACAGAACAGCCACACTCACCCACGGTGCCTAAATGATCCCATGGCAATGAGGGGTTCCCTAAAATAGCGTTTTCAGTAACAATGGGCTGTGATAGCTTTCAAGAGAGAATGTAAACACATGTTTTTCCTTATGCTTGCAAGCTCCTGTAATTTGCTACAAGGATTTTTGATTTGCTAAATCCAAACCCACGGTTTGGCATTTTGGGATTACAGTACAGCTATTCAAATAGCACACTTGGAGTTAGCCAGGCTGCTTCAGGGGACGCTTGCAATAATTTTCCATAGGCTTCCAATGCAGGCTGAGACACATTCCACCAACACCTGTACATTCACTGCTCCTTAATCTGGCATTTCACAGAATCAATGAAGTTGGAAAAGACCTCTGAGATAATCGAGTGTAACCTATGATCTAACACCACCACTAAGTGCCACGTCCTTAAATACCTCCACCACCTCCCTGGGCAGCCCATTCCGATGTGTAATCACCCTTTCTGTGAAAAAATTCCATCCTATTGTCCAACCTAAACCTTCCCTGGCACAGCTTGAGATTATGTCCCCTCATCCTGGAAAAAGACCGCCCCCCACCTGTCAGGGAGTTGTAGACAGTCTTGAGCCTCCTTTTCTCCAGGTTGAACATCCCCAGCTCCCTCAACCACTCCAGACTTGTGTTCCAGCCCCTTCACCATCTTCATGGTCCTTCTCTGGACATGCTCCAGCACCTCAATGTCCTTCCTGAACTGAGAGCCCAGAGCTGGACACAGTCCTACAACTCCCTGGCAGGAGGTTGTGGTGAGCTGGGATTTGGTCTCCTCTCTCAGATAACGAGTGATAGAAAGAGAGGAAACGGCCTCAGATTGCACCAGGGGAGGTTAAGAGTGGATACCAGGAATAACTTTTTTCACTGAAAGGGTGGTCAGGCATTGGAACAGGCTGTCCAGGGAAGTGGTGGGATCACCAGCCCTGGAACTGTTCCACACCAAGTGTGTGGTTGTGGCACCTGGGGACGTGGTTTAGCAGTGATCACAGTGGTGCTGGGCTGATGGCTGGACTCGGTCTCAGAGGTGTTTTCCCAACCTTAGTGATTCTATGATTTTATTTACTTATTTTATTTATTACTCTATTTTATTTTATTTACTCTCTGAGGAGTAACTTGAGAGAGAGGAAGAAGCTGGAAATGCCACCATGCAAAAAACAGATGTCATAAGTATTTACTACTTTTACCACAAAATCTGCTCCCTCATCCCCAGTTTGTTTGTGTAGCTGAAAGGATTTAGAGTGCCTAGGTCTCCTCAAAAACAAGTTACAGTATATCTGTGAAAATGCCTGTCCAGAGAGCTGAGACACTGCAGACTGACTAGATACAACAGGCAAAAAAAGTGGCAAAACCATAGAAGATACAGTAAATGGAAAAATATAAAGATTAAAAACTCTTCCTGACACTTAGATAAGTGGAAAGAAGCATCTCCTCATTGTTGGGCCTGAGAGGTGATTAAAATTTGCAATTCTGAGCAATACTGAGAAAAAGCAACTACGGTGCCTTAAGGATCCCAGTCAGCAGAGTGAGGACAAAAAAACAGGGAAGGAGATGCCCAAAGAAATGCATTTGTTAACAAGTCACCTGAAATTTCGTTGCCAGGAAGCTGCTCCATCACAGCCCTAGAACAACAGGTATCCTGAACGTCACAGCTGGACTTCACCGAGGGGGTGATATCTTTAAAACATCCTTTCAGATGCTTATCAAGGTCTGAGAAACTGCCTTCAGCAAGCAATGAATCTGCCACCAGATGTCACCCACAGGCCATGACGCCTGCTGAGACTTCCCAAGCCTCTGGATTTCCAGCAGACAGGGCAGGGCTGGTTAGAGCGCTGTTATTACCACCGCAGCTACACCAGGTCGCTCCTTTCCACTGCTGAGCTGAAAATGAGTCTAAAAAAAAAGAGGATTCCTTGCAATCAACTGGTATCACTCTGTATTGCAGATTTACTTACGTGGCATGCAGGTGTTAACAGAGAGAGAGGGAAAGAGGGAGAGAAAGAGAGAAAGGAAAGGAAGGAAGAAAGGGAGAAAAGGAAAAAATGAGAAAGGGAGAAAGAAAGGGATAGGAGGGAGAGAAGGAGAGAAGAAGAGAAGGAGAGAGAGAGAAAGAGAGAGAGAAAGAGAGAGAGAGAGAGAGAGAGAAAGAGAGAGAGAGTGTTAAGTTCACATCAGCCACAAACTGAAACTCGAAATCTCACTGCAAGTGTGTCATCACTGCACAGAAGGCAGAAGAGCCCTGTGCTGGTGAACACATCACACTCAAAACCTGGTGGTTCTGAGTGAAATGCATCTGGAAAAACAGCTGCTGACAACAGTTCTGTTGATTCCAAGCTGGGAGAGAAACACTACACTTTAACTTCAGATTTCTGCTTTGTTTCCAGAAAAATAAAAGAAACTTTCAAACTGCTGTCAGTCTTCAAAAGCAAAATTCTTTGAACACTGAAATACATTGCATGGGCTAAAAGCCAAATCCTATGATTGTTGATATCTTTACTGAAGATATATTTTATTTATATTTACTATATTTCTCTTTTTACAGAACTTGACTAGTGCAAAGTTCAACATATAAAAGGAAACTCTTCTGAATTTTAAATTTTGATTTTTAATTATTATACATCAGTAGCTGAAGAAGCTGCAGCTCAGCTGCTTTATTGGCAAAGAACATTCCAACACAGTATTTGAACTTTAGCTTAGAAATTATTTTAGAAAATTATAAGGAGAGAACAAGATCCAGACTGCTCATAAAAATCAGTTCTGTGCACACCTGAATCTTCTTGTTTCCCCTCACCTACCCATACTTTACCATTTGTCCTCTTTAACAAACGTGGGAAGAGTTCTTTTGGTTTTGTATCTTATGGGGAATGTTTCCATCTTCACAACATGAATTGCTGAAGCTAGAAAATTAAAGCAAAACTCACAAACAACCCAAATAAGGTGCAGAAAGAGGCATTTCCACTTAGTTTCACCTCTAATTCCTTATAAATAAATAAAGTAAAAAAAGAAGTCAAGGTCTATAATTGCAATAATTTCACTTATTGAGTAGTATTTGGATATTTTCTTAGTATGACCTATTGTTGTAACCAGCCAGTGTTAACAAACTGATTTCCAGTCAATGGAATAAAGCAGCTCAGAGTACACAAAATACTTATTTGAGGAAACATACAAACATCACAACTATTATATAAAGAACTCTGTTATAATTATATATAAAATAACTATCAAAGCATTTGGTTCATACAGTGCTGCTGCAAGTTATGGAATGAACTACTTGATCCAAGAGAGCCAGTGCTAGAAATGGGTGCCTGGGCAACCATCTCAAACCTGTCTGTCTGGGGACACAGAACAGCAGTTTGTCTGTGTTCATTACGAAGTTGGAACCGTAAGGTAAAAGGAAAGAAAGTTATACATCCAAAGGCAAACCAAAAAAGACTTCAACAGTGTTAAATTCCCTGCAATGTCCCATTAAACCACATTCAGAACATAAATGGCAGCTGCCTCCATCCCTCCACTCACAGAATTTTGTCTGCCCTCTCCAAAAGCTTCTTGGGACTTAGATGTCCATTTAGACACCTGCCAATGACTTCCTACTCCATCTCAGGTAAGAGTTTAAACTGGTGTCTTGAAGAGAAGGAATGTGCAGTTTGTGAACCCCAGGTCACCTGTTCCACACTCCTGCCAGCCCACAGTGAAATGTAACCATGTTTTGTACCAGGATAACCAAACTAACTCCACTCTGCAGTGCAAAACCTGAAGTAATACTCTGAAATATGTGATAGCTTTTGGAAAGGTGCCCACAAGTAATCCCTGTGTTAATACTTTAGACTTCATATCTCAGTGTGCCACCCAGAAAGTCTCACTCAGAAAAGGGTGCAAGCATCCACCCCTCACCCAGTGTGAAAAAATTTCTGAGAAATCTCAGAATTTCTGAGGTTCAAACACGGTCAGTTCCTTCCCATCATAGAACTCTCTCAGTTGGTTCAGCTCATATTTTATGGAGGGTTTCTCAATCTGCATCCCAGGCTCCAGAGCATTCTGTCCGACTATTTTAAGATTCACAAGTTTTATTTTCCAGGTGTTATTCCTGACAGGGCAGCTGATGAGTCCAAAGATTTGCTCAAAGATGCCCAAACAAGTGTTGTCTCTGTGCACTGTGCCAGCCACTGCCACCAGCACCAAGCCATGAGGAGACATGGCATATTTGAGGCCATTGCCATGCAGGTTGGGGTTGAAGAGAAGACATTCCTCCTTCACCAAGGAGAGCAGCCGCAGGCTCACCATGTCTGCACCAACGTACTGTTCCATGTTCTTTTCTGAAGTGTCATAGCAGAATTTCATTCTGGCATCCTCCCAGAAATGCTGTGGTCCCCATGTATCTTCACATGTTACTCCCAAGGGATGTTGAGAGTTCAGGAGTTCAAAGTACCACTGACAGAATTGTCCTCCCAGACCACCAATGTCATCTTCTGGTGGCTTTCCTCCCTCTCCATGACTCTGCAATCAAACAAAATTTTTTTCTTAGAACTATTTAGCCTTAAAATGCAAAATTACCACTCAGAACATAAAATCATGCACATACTTATTCTGAACATTCTAAGTATTCTTCAAGTGTTTTGTGACAGAGAAAGCTTAAAGTAAAATCTCGTTTATTTTTCAGAACATGATTATCTTATATAGAGAACCTAGACAGGTTCTTTGAATTAGAAGAGTGCTTCAGTTTTGTCTTGGTCTCCTTATAAACAAAGAGGAAAATCCTGGTTCTAGTGAAAAGGGGCAGGGGAAGGATTTTCAACAATATCCATGAGACTAAGATTCTCATACTGAGACAAAGTTTCTGCTGAATAAAGTGTCTGGGTTAGTAACTTTTTGTTGTCCTTTACATTTCCAAAAGAATGCTCCAGACCCAACCTACAAAGCCAATCTCATATTAAGGCACATGAATTTACTGAAAATTGCTTATAAATAAGCAATTGTGTTGACAGGCTTTTCCTTTTTCACGTTGCCTTCAGCCTCTTCTTTTTGGTACCTTTTAATTTGGTGAATTGTGTTGGTTTCTCCATCTGCTGAGAAGTAGTTGATAAGAACAAATAGTATTTATTGAGGAGTTACCTTTTGAATATTCAAATCCTAATGCTGACAGAATAATGCCAATTTTCCCTGTGTCAGTGGGATGTGATAAAATGCACAACCAATCCAGGAAGAACTGAAACTCAAAACATTAATGTGTTCCAGAACTTTTTCTCCACCACATGATGTACTTAAAATTTAGCTCTTTTTGGTAGTAAGACTGCCAAAAATCATCCAAAAGATGTTTGGTAACTTTAAAAAGCGATGTTTGTATTCTTCACCAAGTTTGTTAACTCCAAAATCTAGTAAGTAATAAATTATCTCTGTTTTAAGTTTTAAGTAATTAACCATGAAAAGTTTGGAGACTTCTATATAGAAATGCTGTATTTGTTTCACCATCAACTGTAATTAACTTCTAATTGTGTTACACCCAAGACAAATAAAATACTGAAAGTTCATCACACCACTAGGATTTGCTAAATGTCAAAGTTTTGATCTTCAAAATAGCTGGAATTGCCAAAACACATTTAGTTACACTGTGTTAAGTGTTACTAATATCAAAGGAAAACAAAGCACAGGGACCTGGCACTGCTACAAACTTTACAATTCAATGATATATAAATTTGCTAAAATCCAGCCTGAGCTGTAACTGCAAAAAAGTTATTTGGGAATATCCCCTATTTTAGCTCACAGTACAATTTAAAAATTAAAACCCTGGAGAAGACCCTACGCATTTGAGTTCAAATGCACTAATATACTGTGTGAAACGGAGCAGAACACTGTGCTCTGCAAGTGATACACTGGCACAGACACCTTTAAACGATGTAATTAAAGAAAACTCACAAAAATTAAAAACCCAAACAAAACAATAAAAACCACCCCAAACCAAAACAAAAAACAAAACCCCCAAACAAACAAAAATAAAACAAAACCAAAAACCAAAGAAACAAGAAAACCCCAACCAAACCCAAACCAACCAAGAGTTAAAAAGATCCGGTATCTTCCTAAAGCATCTGAAGGGCCCCATTTTGAAGGTGGATTACAACATTTCCACGAGGCATCCTGCCAAAGCAGAGCTGAGCACCCGCGGGTTTTCCAGAGAGCAGGACTCACCTCTGCATGTGGTTTTGTCTGCCCCGACTCCAAGGCTCGAGCTGAGAGCTGCCCACTCCAGAACTGCCTCACACGGTCAATGAGCAGATGTTTCTCCAAGGAAGGAGGGACTGGAATTCCTTGTGCTGCCAAATACTTAAAGATTATTTCTCTATAAACCTTCCTGCGTCTCAGAAGTTCTTCCACGTTCTGGCTGTAAACCAGAATGGCGTGAATGGCTTCTGCAAGCAAAGAAATGGAAGTTAGCAGGTGCTTCTCTCACAATTAAAACTCAAATTAGACACAGAACACACCCAAAGACTTGCAAACATGTTTGGAAAACAGTGCTGTTTTTACTAAATACTTTTTTGCCTTGTAATCCCTAATTCCAGTATCCATGACTGCTTGGAATTTAGTATGTATTATTTAAGACTGATGAAAAGGATGCAAATTTTTCTTCCAAATATTTTTCTTCTTCGAATATTCTTAAGGAGCTTATAAATCTCAAGTGCTTCAAGAAGAGTAACAATTCTTGCACACAATGCACTCCTATATTTAACTTCAACATAAGGTCATTTAACATGAAATCATTGAGGGGTTCCTGCTTTATGTCACCACACAGCCCTTTAGCAAAGGCTGCTCTTGGTTTCCTTCTCCATTTGAGAAGCTCTGGGATATTTCAAAAGAAGCCACCTAGCTGTCTTCTTGGAAGCAAGATTACACAGCAAAAGAAAAATCAGGCTTTTATGGTTCCTCTGAACATGGGATGTGAATCTTACATCCTCCATTAATGGGTAGCTCACAGGATTTGGTCAAAGAACACATTGTTATTCTGAAGAAAATGCAAGTTTTCAAATGTCCCCTGAGAACAGAAAATGGACAGAAATGTAGACAGAGAAGTAACCAAGGTAATCTCTGATTCCTTGTGCAGTTCCTTGAACAAGAGTTCTAACACCAAAGGTCTCAGTCAGTGGCAGAATTCGGAAACGCAACAAACTTAAACTCACTTTTAAAGCAGGTGCAGCAGAGAGTTCTCACCTGCACTGAGGCTGGTACTTAACAAAGGACTTATAAAAACCCTAAATCTAAACAAGAAGAAACTAATAGCTAAAGTTAAAAAAAAAATTCTTGTAAGGTAGCCTACAACCACAGCAAAAACTAGACAAAAAGGCAAGAAACAAGCCTACAGGCAAAAGATCTTTTAAAGAAATAGGTTTGGCAAATCTTACATGTCTCAGTTATATCACATGAAACAAACTCAAGGTTTTGGGATTAATATATTTCAGAGCAACATATTGAGAGGGTTAGGCTTAAAAAACTTAACCTAATAAAAATAATAATATAATAAAATAACCCTAATAAAATAATAAAACAACTCTTATAAAAAAATAACGGTTATGAAACAAATCTCAGCAAAGCCACGGAGGGTGGTCACAACCGGGAGGGTTCTGTTCTGGGAAGAGCTAAGTTCAGTGTTAGATTTGTGTTTTACCCTTTCAAAACCTGAAAGCAAATGTCATTAACACCAATAGCAAGAGACTCCTGAGCTTTAAATACGTTCTGAAGGGGCACAGCAGGAGCTGTCCGGAGGAGTGGGGGGCTCTAAGGGAGGAAAAAGAAGCGCTGGAAAGCTGAAAAACCTCCTAGTTTAGGGGTTTAGAGATGTAACAAGAACTGACAGTATTTACAACGAAAAAACTACAGAGTTAAGTGATTTAAAGAAGCATCGGTGAGGGGAACTGAGGCAGCCAGCGAGGAAACACCCAGGTACTTTTTAACTTGTCCTGAAGGAGTTTACAAAGCGGTCACTTAGAACTTGGGGGCGGGGGTGGATTCAGACAGAGAAGACACCGAAGACCACCAAGACCCTCAAGAGACCTTTATAAGGACATGCATATATGCTAATAAGTGTTGGGAATGGTTATGAATACGTAACAGGGAGGCGGGGAAGGAAAAATGAATAACCATGTGATGCTGACAAATGACCTGCAGTGAAAACCTCGCAGAGAAACGATTCGCAGGGCACCCACCCGGCTGTGCTGCTGTGACCGTGCAGCGCGGCCTGATAAAAGCGTTGATTTCTAAAACTTACAAATGGAGTGTTTAAAAGTTTCCTTTAAGCGCCGCTTTTAGGGCAACACCAGCAGCCACCGCGAGTTCCTCGGCCTGAACGACTCCCAGACCCTCAGCAGCCCAACCCCGGCTCCCAGCGGCGACCCCCGACAGGCACAGCCCCGCCGGCCGGGCAGGGTGCCCGGAACCCCCCGGGCACCCCCACAACGGGGGCCGGGCCCGGGGCAGCGCCCGGCAGGCGGTCCCCGCTGTGCCCGGAGCCCCCCGCGCACCTTGCCGGCTCTCCGGGTGCACCATGCGGCTGGTGACGGTGTCGGTAAGCGCCATGAGCTCCTCGGTGCTCAGCAGCTCCAGCAGGGCCCGGCAGCCCGCCCGCTCCCGCTCGCTCAGCCCCGGCCCCGCCATGGCCGCCGCGGCAGCGCCGCCCCCGTGCGACCACGGGCGCCGGGTGGAAATGGCGGCGGGCGCCGAGGTTCCGTGTCGGAGCCTCCGGGCTCCTCATGGCAGCCTGAGGAACGTCAGCGGGCTGTGGCCGCCCCCCCCAGCCCGTTATATACGTTACATCTTGTGTGCGTGTGAAGGGCTTGTAATGAAACAGCTCTGTAATTAACCGCCCTCCCCTCCCGCCGGCTGGGCGGGAGATTGTCCCGCTCTGCTCTGACCTGGGCTGGCCTCACCTGCGATATTGGGGCGTTTTGGGGCACAGCGATGTATAAGGAAGATATGGAGCCATCAGAGTGTCCAAAGGAGGGCAGTGAAGATGGGGAAGGGGCAGGCAAATGAGGGGTGGCTGAAGGCACTTGGTCTGTTCAGCCTGGAGGAGGCTGAGGGGAGACCTTAAGGCACCCACATGAGGGAACAGAGGGGCAGCTGTAGGTCTCTTCACTCTCGTGACCAGGGACAGGACCCAAGGAAATTGCTTTGTGAAGCTTTATCCGGGGAGGTTTAGGCTGGATATCGGGAAAAGGTTTTTCACCCAGAGGTTGGCACTGAACAGGCTCCCCAGGGCAGTGGGCACAGCACCAAGGCTGACAGAGCTCAGGGAGCATTTGACAACACTCTCAGGCACATGGTGTGAACATCAGGATGGTCCAGGAGTTGGACTCGATGATCCTTGTGGGTCCCTTCCAACTCAGGATGTTCTGTGATGTTATTCTGTGATTTCTAGTTTTACTCCCCTCACCCCTCGGGCCAGTGGGACATTGCCAGGAAGCACCTTTCTGACCCTGGGTGCTGGCTCAGGGCACACGGACAGGGCCCCTCCTCACAAGTGAAGGCAAACAGAAAGCAAACCTCCCACCAGTGTTTACTTTAATGACAGTTTCCCATCGTCGATGCAGAGCCCACACACCCAGTCTTGTCAGGGTGTGCCTGGAGTTGGAGGACTCCTACAAACAAGGCTTCCAGCAGGATCCAGCTGTGCGCCAGATCCTCAGGAATGGCTCAGTGTGCCTGCTGTTTTCCAGGGAGATGCTCGCGGTGGAAACAGCCTTTGGAAGTCAACTGAGAAGCTTCAAGCTTCTATGGTGGTTGCTGGACCAACTCGTTTTTGAATATCTGAGATGCAGCCCCTGCGGCATCGAGCAAATCATCCACTTGTGACTGAGGGAACCGTGGGACCCCTTAAGAACTAATGCCAAGCAAGGGATACATGTCCCCAGGAGTGGGAAATCTGACAGCACATGCCTAATTAAGTTCTATAAGTCAAAGTTGCTTTTTTTTACCACATGCAAGGCCTCAGCCTTGTGCTGCTCCTCCACTTGGCAGTATTTTCTCTGCCAGGGGCAGAAAAACCTGTGATGGTCACTTTATGAGTGAGAGAGAGAAAAGGAAAATGAGGAAAGATGAACAAAAAAAGGGGAAAGAAGGCAGAAGGAGCTTCAGTTGAGCTATGTGCCAAGAAAAATTAAGAGGCAAATGAGTACTTGACGTCGGTGTGGCAAAAAAAGGAGCCCTCTCATCAACCCCATGTTTTAATATGGGTGTGTAAGGAGGCCACATTTTGGTGCTACAGCTGCCTGTGATTTCAAAACCACGAAGACTTACATTCTGTAAAGACACACAAACAGTCACCTGCAGATTCAAGTTAAAATTACTGATGATGCTATTGCACAAACCACCAAACTGGTCACTGTGGTGGGCTCTGTTCAGACCTGTAGTAACAAATGCCTGCCCTCAAGATCATGTAAACCTAAGACAGAACACTTACATGAACAGAGAACACATTCCTACCCCCCATACTACCCATATGCTTTACATGCTTGTGTCCTCTTTGAAATCTAAAAACAGTCCCTGCAGATCTCCAGGTTCATTAAAAGGAAAACCAACACACATCCAGCTTGAGAAACAGCTGCTCTCTTGAGCTGGAGCAATGAATTCCAAATAAACCAGAAACAGCTGACCCAATTTTGCCCATGAATTGCAAGTCCTACATTCAGATAAAAACTGAGTCCTAAAGCATCTGGAAAGATTGAACATAATAATGCTTATTGTCTGCTGGGCCAAATTACATTCCATACATCCAGTTACTTGCACCCTCTTCATGTATAAGACAGACCTCCCATCACAACATGTAGTGCATCATTCTGCTTATCTGTGGAGCTTACAGAGCAAAATCCTCAAAAATGGGACTACCTACATGTCACCATGTTAATTTAGCTGTTGAAATTCTGAATTTATTCATCTCAATCCTGCAAACTAAAAATTAGAAAATGCATCTGAGAAATATAAATTTGTTTTGCTCGTATTTCAACAAACCTTTTTAGATTTGCAGCCTTCAAGGGAATAATAATAATGTTTTAAATCAAGGCCAGCCCTTTCAGCAGGATTATACATGCACCTTGCAAGTGCTTCCCCTTTGGAGGTAGTGGTGGGAGAAAGGGAATTATTTCAGAAGTAGGTTTTTTTTTCCTTTCTCACAAGTCAGAATTCCCTACAGTTTTTATACAAACTTTTAATTGACTTGAGCATTGAGCAGGAATTTAAACTAGCATTCCTAAAGGGGAAGACACAGGAAAATTATTAGCTTATATGAACCTAAAGGTGAATAGAACTCTTGGAATATTAAACCGCTGTCTTAATTGAAGGAGTCATTACAAGAGAACCTCTTGACCTACCAGATTTTTGTTATATTTTCTCTCCCCTGTTCAGTTGAGCAGGGGCATGACAGAGCAGCTTTGGTGTCCAGTCATGGTCAAATCACCACAATTCCTTCAAACACTAAGCAAAATAAATAAGAAATTACAATACAGCAAACACATAATACATTTTAGTGCCATCTGTAGAAGCAGCTGTTTTGTAGGTTAGCAGAGTCATAAACTATATCAATGTAAAGGATATTTACATACTTAAAATGACACTGGTTACTGCATTAACTGACTCTACCCCCACAATCCTACACTAAATTTTTCAGCAAGTTAGCTTACAATAATAATGTTGGTTATGCTGAGAGCCAAAGGTGACATGTATGGCCTGAAATACATAAATAATAAATACTGTCAAAATAGACAACAGCACGTAGTAACCATAGGATAGACATTCAGTTTCACTGTACCTCCCACTCAACTACATTTCATAACCTCTATATCTATTTATATAAATATACTTACAAATTGATATTTATGTATTTTATACCTCTCATAATTGATGGTTATTTTTTCCTACATAATTCTAAAAACAGTTCCCGATGATCTTTTCAACTTCCCAACATACAAAATTCAGTATGTACAAAGTTACCTGCATACTCAAGAACCTCAAAGTCGGCCTTTGTCTTAAACTTAGAGTATTTCAAGCCCCCTTGAGCACCTCTTTGGTCTTTTGAGGTCTACCTAGTTCTTAGATGCCTCCTTGACCCCTGCACCTCAATCTCCCCTTGGGCTCCAAACTCAATATTTAGTCCTCACAATCCAGCTGTGTAACAGGAAACTCAAAGAACATTAAGAATTTACAGGACTGTAATAATTCTAAATAAACCAGCGTTTTCAGATTAAAGTATTGAACTTCCAGAAGCAAAATCAAAACTTGAACGATTTTATGATGAAGACAATTAACCAGAAGCAGAGGGACCTTAAAACAGCTGCATCCAGACTTGTCTGTGGCCCCAAGTTTGCGGTTTGAGCCCTAGGAAATCACTTTAGCAGTTAAATGCCCCCTCCACACCCCTATTTTGAAGCTTAGCTTATTCATGCCTCTGGATCGTCAAGACCTGGCATCCTCACACAGGTGCCAGGCAACTCTCCCATACCAAACACAACACAGCAGCTATGAAGGTTGAGCAGCATTTTCAGAGGGATTCTCCAAAAGACAAGATCAATTTCTATCAACAACAAAGACAATGTTTTATTGAACAAATCTATGTACAGTACAAAAAGGTTTTTAAAATGAAACACTACTGTAGATTTATTGCAGTTTGATGGCTCAGTTTTAATTTGTACTCTTATATAAAATGCAAAGTAAAATAATTTAACATTCAACAAGGAAGCACAAATTTCCTTTCTTGCTGAACCTGTAACAGCTTTTACAAATTAAGAGTCCCAAAATGCATACACTGCATTTAATCAGAAAGGTGTTATACAGTACCAAATAAATTAAGAAAATAGTAACACTACCACCCTCTTTGGGTCTTTTGTCCATAGCACTGGTGTTAAACAATAAAAGAAATGAGTACAGCTGAACCTTCAATGTGATATTAAAATCACAAAGTTTAATGTTATAAATTATCCAAACTATACAATTTATATAATTTTAATGAATATGGCTAAATAACCAAAGTACCAGTGACCTTTCCCCACAGATATCACCACCTTCAACCTACTTTCAGTATTTCTTTTTTTTATGAAAGGTGCCCACCAAATGGCAACTCTTTGAAATTAGAACTTCCATGACCTTTACAGTGAAACATGATTGGGTTAGAGAAGAGTCTTAAAAGGAAAGTCCAAATCCAAGTTGCAGCCAACTGGAGGAATGTTATTGGAACACAATTATCCACAACAAATGCACAAACTTTGATCCAACAAAGCTCCCAAGCTCATGTGTAACTTCAGGCAGCTTTAAGGGAGTTGCAGGCTTACATTACACATGGATTCTAGTATTTATTGAATCAAAGTGATACATCTTGAAGGATTTCCAATTATATCATACAATGCTTCTTAATGCCTGGGAAAAAAACCCAACTTTCAGATCGAGATTTGTAACCTTCTTCAGTCCTAGAAGTTGCAGGCTTAGTACAGGGTAATACTCAACATACTAAAGAATCCTTAAAAAGCATGGAGAATTATCCCACACACATTACACAAGTATCCTTTTCCTTCTGATTCAAGTTGCTTAATACTGCAACTATCTGAGAATACCAACAGGTATCAGAGAGGAGCTTAAAGAAAATGCAATGTCTTCTGAAGTAAAAATCATGACTTAAAAATGTTA